TTCCTGGAATGGCTCCTCAAAGAAGTCTATAGCACAATATACTTTAATTACCTACTCTCACAATTTAATCACCCTCCCCTATCTCACGTAAGCAAAAAATTTAAAGCTCCATAGAAACTGACTTGCATAAGATCATATGAGTAATAGACTGCATTTTCCTGACCCTTGTTTTAACTTTTCTGTACTGAAAGCAAATCAGAGTATAGGGCTGTCCTGCCAAGGCCCAGATAAGAGAATATCTGAGATTCCAGGGAAGGCTTGTGATTAGGGTGATGCTAATACAATCAGTGCTGCTGACTGTTGTGTAGGTAGGTCCAAGTGAGAGTGGAGAAGTAGTCACTTTGGCAAAAAGCTTAGCACCTTGAAAGTGAGCCCTAATGTATGTAAGTGGAATTTAGGTAGAAAGAGAGGGACTCAAATGCAATATGGTGCCTTCTTGTCAGAACTCAAGATATTTCAGATATTCACTGGTAGGAGTATGCAGAGAATCTTCCTAACACCCATAAGGCCCTGGAAGTTTGATAAACTGCCCCCATGGCAATAGTCTAACACAGTGCTGCGAGTCAGGGTCAAGAGTCAGACTGTGGGGTTGGATTCTGACTTCCTCACTTATAAGTATGCACTCTTTGTCAAATTGCTTGATCTTTCTGTATCTCAATTACCTCAGTAAGGAAACAGAGAACTTACTTTACTGGAGTTAGGTAGGCTTGGATTCCAATGATGACTTGAGTCACCAGTTTTTTAGTAAAATAATTATATAAATAAGAAAGTATTTCACTTGTGTAGGATTTTACAAAACCCTTTTACATTTCCTATGGGCATTTAACATATTTATGGTGAGCTATTTTCTAATATGACTCTATTTTCCACTTTGGTATAAGCAGTTGGCATATAGTGAACACTATGAGTTATTTTTCCTTCTACAGGTTGAGCATCCCTTATTCAAAATGCTTGGGATCAGAAGTGCTTCAGATTTCAGAGGTTTTTTTTTTCAAATTTGGATTCTGCACAGATTTTACTGGTTGAGCATCCCTAATCTGTCATGTTAACACTCAAAAAGTTTCAGACTTTGGAGCAGTTCAGATTTCAGATTTTTGAATTAAAGATGCTCACTCAACCCCTACTGCTGTCAGCATCACTACAAATGGCTGCAGATACCAGTATATACCACTGGGTGGCAGCAGAGGAAGCAATACTAAAAATTTTTTTTTCTGACGTTCTGGTGTGTACTGAAATTAAAGAAGCTTAATCGTACTTGGTACTTAGTACAGAAAAGTAACTCAGGTCAGAAATAAAGCAGTTTACCTCTCTCGAAATGCCATCTGTTGTTCTTCCATCAAGGGTCACATTTAGGGATTTTTGCCCCTCCAGCTCAAGGAGCCATTTGTGTGCTTATCTGTTTCCCTCGACCTACCAGTATCTGTTTCTTGTTAACCAGAGCTAAATTTTAGTAGACCTCTTTAGAAGTTAAAATTGTATCTCTCTATCTCATATTTTTGAGATAGCAAATACCTACTTAGTCTTGCATTTAGAGGTCTTTGGTTAGTCACTGTACTTCAACTTTTTAAGGTTAATGTGCTTTCCTTTTGTATACAAACCAAATGCAAGAAAACAGTTTTTTCTTATTGCAATAATGAATTAAAATTTTCAAAAATAAATTTGGAGACTGAGAACAGAGAAAAGAGACAAGGAAGATGACAAAGTATAAGTATAGTTCTGTACAATTCAGGTTTTGAAAACATAAATCTAAATTAAATCTATCTAAATATTGGGTTTATTTGTCTCCTGGGAAGGAGGCAATTTAGATTATGGTAGGGGAATGAAGGAACAGACACATTTGAAGTTAAAAAGTCAGCAATGCTCTATATGCCAAGTCACAGAATTTGATGTGGTATCCAAAAGCACTTGGTAGCAAACTCTGAGGTAGAATTAGCACATAATTGTTTTTAATTATATGTTTCATAGTTACATAAATCCATTAAGCATAAAGGGTGGAAGTGCCACATTCCTAATGGGAAATTTTTATCTAAATGGCTGTGGAACAAAATAATACTTTAGACAAAAAGGGGATGGAAATTCAATTCATTTTATTTGAAATGGATAATATACAACACAGTGAAATCCAAAGTATGTATACTACCCTTTAAATGTTCATATAGATGAAAAATACTTTGAAGCCATGTCAACTAGCCAAAGAATGCTTATTCTTCTTTACCAGAAAACTATGGTTAAAGATCATGGTTAACCGGCTCAATATAAACCTCTGGGTTTGATGTAGAAAGGGCTTCAGAAGCCAGTAGAAACAAAGTTTCCTGTCACTAAGGTATAAACAACTATTAATCTTCTTTCTGATGATGTAATGCTATAAATGTATATATTCTTTGATTTTGCTATTAATTGAAGATATTATTGAAGTCTTTATTGTGGTATAGTTCCTAAAAACTAATACACTAATTCTGAGCATGATGTAAATGGCTTATTTTACTAGTGGCACTGGTACAGAGGAACACCAAAAACTCTCACAGAATTTTAAAGTTGAAGGAAAATTTTAAGAACAAAATAAGTAAGCTGTTGCATATTCACACTCATGTGTCAGCGGCAGCTAAAGCCATAGTTGCCTTCCATGATATACTTCAATTTTGTCTTAAACATCCTTCTTATAATGTCATAGCAGTAGAGTATATAGTTTGTTAATAAGGAAGAATAGTTTCCCTAGCCACTTGAAAAAGGTCAGTACATTAACACTCTTTAAAAGTAGAAAACTTTTTGAGAAAGTTCAAAATCCAACTCAGTGATATTTTTCTTCCGGAAGAAGCAGCATTGATCGGCTACCAATTCAGAGGGTTGCATACATATTGAGCTGTACATGCATAAACATAAAAAATGTATTGGATTTTATTTTTATTATCATATTGTTATACTCCAGTACATTTGCAACAGTGCTTACAATATATCAAATTCACACCCTCCATCATTCTCCTTTATCCTCCCTTCCCCCATTCTTAGAATAGTTTCAACAGGTTTTATTTTTCCATTTTCATACATGAGTGTATAGAATTTAGAAGGGAACTCAAGAATTCATCTAGTTCAGTTCCTTGCCTTCCAGAAGGTAGGGTGTCATTATTCCTATTTTGTATATGAGACTAGTAAGACCAAGAAAGATGAACTGACTTGTGGCAGGTTAAATACCTAGCAAGTAATAGTGACACAGGACAAGTTTCCTGTCCTAGCAAGGTATGACACAGAACACTCTCTAACTTGAGGAGAGAAAGGACAGAATTCTGAAAACTTTTGTCTCCTTCAAAATTCATTTTCTAAACAGGCACAGTGCCTCACACCTGTAATCCTAACTACTTGGGAAGTGGAGATTGGGAGGACAGAGGTTCCAGGCTAGCCAGGGCAAAAAGCTCACAAGGTGCCACCTTGAGCAATAAAAAGCTGAGTGTAGTGATACATGCCTGCCATCCCAGTGACTTGGGCAGCTAAAATAGGAGGATCACAGTATAGGCCTGCCAGGGCTTAAATGGGAGATCTTATTCAAAAAATAAATAAAGCAAAAAGTACTGGTGGAATGGCTCAAAGTAGTAGCTCTCCTGCCTAGCAAGCACAAGGCCCTGAGTTCAAACCCTAGTACTGCCAAAAAATAAAAATACTTTTTCTAGTCCAGCATGATAGTGAATGCTTATAATCCCAACTACTTAAGAGTCACAAGCAGTTGGATCTCAAATTTGAAGCCAGACAGGGAAAGTTAGTGAACATGGCAAAAATCTGATAGTGTACATGTATCAGAAGTAATCAAGCTAAATTAGGAAGGTTTGGAATGCGGAAACTGCATTTAGCAAAGTCATGCAGAGGAAGATCAGGGAGATGTTATCGCCTTTGCGTTTTAGTAATGGACATGCAAATATAAGCTGTATATGTGTGTGTGTATATGTATATGTAGGTGTAGATATACCTATACATATTGGTGGGACTGGGGTTTGAACGCAAGGCTTCGCACTTGCAAAGCAGGCTCTCTACTGCTTAAGCCACACCTCCAGTTCATTTTGTTCTTGTTATTTTTGGAGATGGTGTCTTGAGAACTATTTGCCCAGTTTGGTCATGAACCTCGATCCTCCAGATCTCAGCTTCCCAAGTAGTTAGGATTACAGGCATGAGCCACCAGCACACAGTTCCCCAAACAGATTTTGAGTGCAAATGTTCAGTCTAATAAAGTAAAGGCCCAGATGGGACACCCACAGTAAAGCCCAGAAAGGAAACTTTCTAGAATAAACTTTATATGTAGTGACTATAAAAATGCTCCAAGTATGGAATTACTGCAAATAACATTTTTTATATTAAAATGATATGATAATGCATCATTTCCTTCTGATTATAGCAGAGGGACCAAGATCTTCCTCACATGTTGTAAATTTAGGCAGGGCATTTTATCCTGCTTCCCAAAAGGTCAGATATTCAGGTTAAGAAAGAGGAGCAGTGAAAACTTATTATATAATGGTAATAATACAAAAAAACAGAAATTGGAGAGAAAGTTATGACAGAAAACATGGAATTCAAAGAGGAAGGGAGAAAGTGGCATTTATTAGCATTTATTTTATGAAATCTCTATGTTAAACATTTTGCTAATTTTATCATATTTAATCTTCACGACAACTCCATTAGGTAACTACTAAGTGCAAATGACAAAATGAAACTCAGAAAAATTAATTTTCAGATAGCTACTAGGTAATAGAATTAAGATATAAATTTTGATATGACATTAAATTCCATATTGCTTTTTAATTAGACCAATATGACACAATAGGCATTACCAGAGCAAAAATGAAATTTCAAAAACATAGATTGGCACAATTGTCAGATAAATTGATTTTAGAAATAACATTTTGGATGAATGTCTATAAACAAATATCAAAGAGAGTGAAAAAGATGAAGAAATTGAAATACCAAACTCATAAAATTAAGTATTTGCTAAGCAATTTGAATTGTGAAAGGTTGTATTATCAAGGTTTTAATTCAATACCTCCTGATTTGTCTTCCTCATTATCCTCAACCACCCTGTCTCCAAGAAAGCTATAGTGGCCTTGCGAGTTATCACCCATGCATAGAAGATTGGGTACTGAAATATCTCTCCAGTCCTGACATGAAGGAATACGGATTTGTTTGACATCTTCACTCCCAGGAACAAAGCCAAATAGTTTCTTTATGCGCTGCCTGATGAGGATCCGGGAGTGCTCCTCTGCAGCTTGTTTAAAGAGCTCTCCCTCATTATGGAGGTGGTTTGTCCAGTAGTGATGCTGCAGAGAGGTGAGGGGAGAGCAGCACCTTGTCAGACAGCGGGAGACCAGGACTGCGATGGTTGCCAAGGTGATCAAAATCCAACTCAGCATCTTCACATAAATATGGGAAACAAAAACAAAAGCATCAATACAGCAAATATTTGACAAACAGCCATGGTAAAAGGGATTCCTATAAAACCAAGAACTAAAATGTGGGTAAAAACATTGTGTTTCCAGTCTTTAACATATTAACAAAGTGCTGATCATGATGTTGAAGTAGTTCTGATAGAAGGATAGGTCAAGCCATTTCAATTTGCCTTTCAGATTACAAAGGAATTTGACCAGTTAACATGAAATGGTCACTATATCCTGCCCTTGAAGTGACAGACGCTATAACCCACCAATTAACCTTACATAAGAAACATAAATACTGTTCTTTGCTTATAGTTTAACTTCTCAATCATCAGGCACAGGCCCATACATTCTTTGGTAGCTTAATAAATATTTACTAATGATAGTGATGAAAATGATGGTAGGATAGACAGTAATGGTAGCCTCTTAAGATGTCCTCAATGACCAACAACAAGCATTCATTAGTATTTCTTCCTTTGTTCCTCTTTCCTCTTCTTTTTTGCAACCAAAGAAATAAGTGAGCAGACTTGTATCTCTAAGTTGCTATGCTTTTTAATACCTTACTGTTTTCCCTTTAAAACTATTTAGTGCCCACTTTTAAAGACTGACATAAATGTTTTCTAGTCTTAGAATCCTTTTATTTATTTTCATTATTCTTTTTCAATATTTACCAACTGTTTCTGTAAAGTAAGGAAGACAAATTCCTGACATTTGGGAAAGCTAACAGTATGTAGCCAGTTTGATCCATCATTTATTAGCTCTATGAGCTTCTACGAGTTACATAAACTCTTTGAGCTTTGGTTTACGCATCTGTAAAATGGAGCTAATAGTATCTGTCTCCCAATATTATGAGGCTAGAGTTAAGATATGAAATGTTTGTACAATACTATATTTGATTAATATCTAAAGATACATGTTTGTTGCCACAGAACCAAAAAAAAATCCACTAGTAATTATACTCAGAACTCTAAAACTGTGTTTTCACAGAAATCTGTGTGTGCATTTAATTATATTTTAATTTTACCTTAAGAAAATCTGACTACTATGTATTATATTTTAGTTTTTCCTAAGCAAGAACATTTGTGAAAGTTAAAATTGTCCTATTTTTCTTTTTACTTTTACCCACATAATTTCTCTGCCTGAGCTTCAGGGCTAGTATAAAAAAAGCTGAGACAAAGTATATCCTAATGGGATTTCTAACTTTTCTTAAACTGGGTCATATTACTACACTTCAGTATTATGTGTCTTGATTATAATTTTTTTCAATTCGATAACATTAACATTTCTAAATTTAATAACTAAAATGATGCAGATCAAAAAGCATGTGCTTTGCAATAAGCAGCTTAAAAAATAACATGTTTTACTGTATTGCAGTGGTTTGAAATGTATTTTCTCCAAGTCTCTTGAAGAAACTCATTAGTCAATGGACTTCTCCTGACAAAATGCACAATCACACCTCTAAGATTTAACCGATGAGGACTTCCTCCCACCCTATCCTGTCCTCTGACACAAACCTGTCACTAAATTTAGAAACTTCATTTGTGATTTTTAAATCATAATTGAGTTTTTTACAATTTTAAATGAGATTTTACTAAATGAGAATGCACATGGACCACATGCAAAAAGGCAAGGTTTAGTGATATATACCAGTGTGTGTACTACTGTCTAGAATTCATTATTTTAGTATAGATTCTGGCAGAGTACTGAGCCTTTTAAATGTATTAACTCGCTTATGGCTCACATCAACCCTATGCAGGAGACACTATTAATATCCCCATTTTACATCTAAGGAAAGTGAAGAATAGAAAAAATTGCAGGTCAGTAAGTAAAAAAGCAAGACAAAGCTAGGTCTGCTGCTTCCAGAGCCCAATGTCCTAAGTATATGTATGGTATCAAGTCTGTGTTCTGTCATCACACAATATGAGAAGCAGCAGAAGTATGACAGGTTTCTAGTGACTATAGTAAGTATGGGATAATATGGCAGAAAAAAAATAAAAAACTTACTTGTGACTGGTATCGGTGAAGAAGAGCTATTTCATCTTTTATTAGGATCATGTCAGGAGGAGCTGAACTGTAGCATGGAAATCCAGCTAGCATCTCCTTTCGTTTGCTGCCAGTGACATTATCAAACACTGGGTAATGGTCAACAGATGCAAACTCACTTGCTGCACATTCATAGTAGGTGCCTTTCATCAGGGTCACCGCCAGCCATGTTAATGGAGCCACAAGTGCCCTGCCAGTAATGCTAGTGAATCGAAGGCAAGCCAGCCTGCGCTCCAGGGGGCTGATTCTCCGGTGTGGAAGGGCACAGCTGCAGCAGTATTCACTGGTAAAAGTCCACATTTGGCTTCTCAGAGTATAGCCGGCAATCAGAAGGATCAAGGCAGGAACCACAAGAAAAGCTGAACCATAATAGAAATTTTTCCCAACTTGACAGGGACATCTGAATGTGGAAGAGGAGAAAAGTTGTTGCCCACCAACAGTCAAAGCCGCAATCAAAGAATTGATAAATGTTCCACTTTTCTGCAGAGAAGATATGATATTGCTGAGAGTCGGGCTCATCCTGGAAGGCTCTGACACAAATCGGCTGGTGGCCCTTTCTGATCATTAGACTCCACCAGCTATAATCATTTTATGGGATTTTACTGGTTTAACTGGTTGTGTGTCAAGTGACCCAGTATGCTTACATGTTTAAAAGAATCTCGCATCTTTCATTGTGTACTTTGTAAATTCTGAGCTAATAAATTCACATCAGACTCTAGCTAGAAGAGACTGAGGTCAAATCAGTTCTCATATAGTATAAGTAAGGAGGGAAAACTTTAATGTTTCTTCCTAATAAAAAAGAGCATAGTTTGCTTGCAAAGCAAACTGCCTCCATCTTTCTATATGCTTCTTTGCATAACACAAAATTCTGACCACCACCAAATGGAGCACTGGAATCAAAACAAGGACATTCATAACCTTTGTGGTAAACCAGAGTTCTATCACCAGAAAATTACAACATATGAGATAATGAAAGCAATAAAATACTATAACAATCCAAAACTTAGTGCTAACTGGAAAGTCTATAACCTAAGGGTTCTACTAAAGATCCCCAAAGATTATCCACAGGAGAAAAACAAGTCTTCCTAACCCTCAAAATCAAATCACAATAAAAGCAGTCTAGCTCTGCATAAAATTTAAAATCTGTTTGTATTTTCAGAATAGTGGTATGTGTTGCTTTAAAAGTTAAGTGGCAAATTTGTTTCTATGCTATCTTTTGATTATATGAAAATGTGATATTTAATTTTTAATAAGGTTATATATCTATAAATAAGAATGAAATGATCAATATGTAAGGTTCTTTGATGTTTATTTAATCAGTAAATAATTATTGTTTAACTTCTACAGGAAGAGAACTGGGCTAGGCTTGGTTGGGTTTGTAAATTTCTCAGACTCTCAACTGGACATGATTAAATACTTCATTAGTAAATTGAAGCATAGCACTGAGAAATTCATCCAAAATGAAATACAAAAGGAATAATATACTTTAAAAAACAATTAATGGAAATAGATAAAGCAAATTCACAATCTGTCTAATACGAATTCCAAAAGAAAAAAGGTAGGCAGAGAATCAGTATTCGAGAGTAATAACTTAGAGCAGAGCCAAAAGTTCTCACATTAGAAGAATGTTGGCTGTTCTGAGCAGAATATATTAAGACTGACAACAGACTTCTCATCATTAGCTGTATACGCATATATACATACATATACTCATCAAAGTGCACATTGATTACATCAGTAAAGTCATAGAAATTTTGAGTGGAATCACTAATAGATATACAATTGTAGATCAACCAAAAAATGGAGGAAATGAAAAGGGAATTTTGTCATGAAAGGAGATAGTAAACAAAGGGAAGAGGAGAAGAAAACACAAAACAATGGTAGAATTGGGACTAAATAAATCGATAAGCACAACAAAAAATTTGAAATAGCTAGGAATTACTTAATTTTTACTACAACAGAGGCACCATTCTGAGAAAGTTCTTTCATTTAATCCTCATAATAACAGTACAATGAGGTGCTGATAGTATCCTCAGTATTTTTACAGATGAGAAGACCCAGGTGTGGAGAAATTAAAGAAATAGCACTTGGTCACATGCAGATGGTGGAAGAACCGAGATTAGGATCCAGGCAGTCTGACATGCTTTTCACCACCAGACCACAGCTGGCTTAAACTCATCTACAAAGTAATTTTAAAATAGTCAAGCTGCTTACAAGTGACACTCAAAACTATACCACATACAAAGCTTTAAAAAAACGGTATTGAGATGTAAATTACTGGGAACAATAATACTAACAGAAGGCAAAACCAAACTAAAGTCAGTTTCAAAAAGGTAATTTTGAACTCTCCATCATAATAAAAGCAATGATCCATTATAATTATAAAGATATGGCAATATCAACTTGTATGCATGCATATGACTGCATAACTTTGAAATATGAAGATTTTAAACTTACTATTATCAGAAATGAATTGATCAGGTGAACATTAGAAAGGATACGAAAGATAAAAAGAATAAACTTAGCAAGTTTTGTCTAACATACAGTTACTTAGATAGACATATGTAAATAATTTTATACTGTAAATGTAGAGAATAAACATTTTTATAAATTCCTCCCAAAATCATTTGCTAAAATGTATTGATAACTTGGGAAATGGTCACAAAGAAAAAGTCAGCCTTACTATCCAATAACAAGAAAATAATAAACTATGATAGCAGAATGTTATAGTGGAGGAATGGGCAGTCTATGTCTTATCAGCTAACATGACCCATAAAGGATTGAAGAATGGGCAGTGTAATTCAGGTGTTTCAAGCACTGTTTTATTGCTTGTTTTGTATGACTTATGAGCTTTTTCATTTTTCAAAGGTGGGAAAAAATTAAAAAATAATATGTAACATGAAAATTATAAGAAATTCAAATTTCAGTATTTATGAAATACTGAAAAAGGTATTGGACACTGACAAAGGTATTGGAGCATACCTTTGTCTCTTATTTAAGTGTGGATGGATGCTTTTGCACTATGATATCAGGGTTGAATTATTATGAAAATTATCAGTGTGACTTCAAAACCTAAATTATTTACTGTCTGGTCATGTACAGAAAGGTTTTGCTGATCCATGCTACAAATATGTCAAAATAAGTTATATCTAGAGACAAATATGGATAAATATTAATTTTGAGGAAAAATTCAAGTTACAGGATACATGTAGTATGACACTAGTATATAAATATTTAAGTACTATAATGTGTTCTTTATGGATACTAACATATGTAGAGTTTTAAACATGCATAAGAATGATAGATATCAAGGTCTGGATAGTGGTAACCACTGAGGAAGAAAGCAAAATAGCATTAAAAAGGCTGGATGCATGGCTCAAGCAGTAGAACACCTGTCTAGCAAGTGTGAAGTCCTGTGTTCAAACCCCAGTACTGCCAAAAAAAAAATACTGTCGTAAAAAGAGTGCAGGATAGTTAAGCTGTCTCTGCCCTGCTTTATTGCTTAAAATAAAGCCTGAGGGCATATAACAACATTTAACATAGCTTGTTTATAATTTCATATTTAAAATTTCACTGAATTAGAGTATCTGTGAAATGAGAAAGTGGGGAAGGAAGTTATGCACCATTTTTTCTCAAAACTATATAGGAAAGGATGGAGCACTGCTTGGTCAGATGTCACTATTAGAGTGTGATATTATTACTGTAAAGGAGTTTGTTGGTAACAAAATTGTAAGTTTTTATTATTGTTTACTACTGAAAGAATCACTTCATCTGCAGTACCAGTGTGTAACTTGTCAATAACTGATTATATCTATGAATAATCAATTTTCTTTTGGACTTTGTCTTACTCTTTTTGTGCTGCTATAGCAAAATACCTGAAACTAGATAAATTAAAAAGAACAGAAATTTATTTCTTACAGTTCTGGTTGAAAAGTCCAAAATCAGGAAACTAACACTGGTGTCTAGTGAGGACTGCTCTACACTCCAAGATGGCACCATGTTGCTATGACCACACATAGCAGAACAGAAGAGAAAAAAAGAAGAAAAAAGAAATCTGAATGTGTTCCCTCCAACCCTTTTATTAGTCTCTGGCCTCATGGCTTAACTACTTCTCAAAGGCCTCATCTTTTAATACCACCACAATGGGGATTAAGTTTTAACACATGCATTTTGGAGGACATTCAGACCATTACAGGGTTTACAGTCAAATTGTCTTTCTGTTTATCCTCCTCAAAGGGATCCACCAGCACAAACTTATTCACTGAGCACAAACTAGCACATGGACAAAGAAAATTGGATCTGGGCAGTACAGCCATCCTTACAGAGTGGGGGTATAGACCAAATCACACTCATGTGAGGAAATCAGATTAAAACTAACACTAAGATCAGCTTTAATAGAAAAGAATTTGTAAAAATAAAACAAGCCTCTAGACCAGAAATTACAGCGGCTGGACAAGGTGTCTCTTGTCCTCTATTAGCATATCCCAAAGCCTACTCAGGTGCCCAGGTACCCCCCAAAGACCTTGCATCAGGGCATGTTCCAGTTCACCTTTTACTTGCTATGGCTGACTATAGCACACATTTGATGAGATTGAAGAATGCTTCTTTCTCATACTCCTAACTCCAAGTTTAATCCTAAACAGCCTAAGAACTCTTACTGAAAGAGGAGAAAGTACTCTTGTACATTATTTTGAAATAACTCTCCTTCCTGCTTTATTGCCAGGGCAGACTTTATAGATTATTTACCTGCTTGAAATATAACATCTGTGCTTTCTGCTATTTAAGGGAGGAGTGGCTTTACATAAAAAGAAGGAGCCAGGGAGACATAAAGCCCACTCAGTTCCTAAGAAGTGCTGAAGGCTGTGGATTTCACAGTCTGAAAAGAAGTCCCAGTCCCAGCAAAGGTGACTACAGCAGTGTTGTGCAGTTTGTGTTCTCTTCAGGTGTGCCCAGCAGTCACTCAGCTCCTTCCCCAAGCCCTGTGTCCCAGGTGGAGGGTTGTTGGGTAGTAGGAGCTTGTTGGTCTGGAGGAAGAGGTCTCCTTTTCTAATGCACTAACAACATCCTGAATTCTCACAATACCCTTGATGTGACCAAGCCACAGCCATTAGGGTTTAGTGATTTCAACTCCAGTACCACCATGTCTTTTCTCAAAGCACTCAGGCTTTTCCAGTTCTTCTCAGGGAGAAACCCGCAACCTAAAATTGCCTCCAGAGCCCAGTAACATGCTGTCAACTGTGCCTTAGAAGGCTTTGTGAGTCTACTTTGAAAATATTTTGCTCTGACATAATTAGAATAATTTTTTAAAATTCTGAGTCAGCAAATTTAGCTGAAATATCTCTTTTCCCTACTATCCAGATATCTTTGAACAAATTTCTTAGCCTTTTTACTTTTCTATTCCTATCCTATGAAATGGCAATTACGACAGCACTATTTCACAGACTGCAGTTGAATTAAAATAAAGAGAATGAAAATCTAAACTGCAAAGTTTACATAAATATAAGTTGTTATTAATCTCCACTGAAAACTCCATACCCTCACAGTACAGCAAAACTGATTTTCCTGAGTTCATGTTGTCATAGAGCATGGGCACTAAAGGAAATGTCTTTAATATATTCACCTAGAAGAATAACCTTTAGTCATTAGTTTTTATACAGTGCATTATAATGTGTTTTAAAGCACATATTATCTCTTTGATATCACAATTATTCTGTGAGGTAGGAATTACTATTGCCATTTCCCAGATGTGGAAACTGAGCCATAGAGCAATAAAGTGGCTTGCCCAAAGCCACACAGCCAGTAATTGGTAGAACTGCAATTTAACCCAAGCCTTCCCAATCTGCCTAGGCTCTTTCAACTTTGCCATATTCTTCTTCAAAGTATTCACCGGTCTGTCACTTTGTAGCAAGAGTATGCGAGAATAAATAGGACTAATGTCTCAAGCCAGGGGTAGGAAATTACTGTCCTAAACTGAGTTTTATGTTTCTATTTCTGGAATGGCTTTGATCCTGCAGTTGTCAAGATGAGATTTCTTATTTGAACTTTAAATATCTATACTTCTGCATAAATAAAGAGAACCTTCAATAGCTTAGGAACTATCAAAAGAAAGCTAAGGGCTTACTTTCTCTGCCAGAATCATTATACATTATTAAACTGTTGAGCACCCATTTTGAGCAACAGTTCTGTAAGAAAATACTACCCATTCTATCATTTCTTAAAATTGCAGCTGATTGCTGCTTATGAAAAGGAAAAAAACCAGATACCAGCTATATCTGACTATTGTAGTCACAGAGATGGGGGAGGTGGATCTAGTGCTGGAGACAATGTGATACTTATTTGCATTGTTGATCAAATCTGAATCAGGATTTAGTGCCTACAGATTGCTGATCCTGTCTCTCTAATTCATGCTACAATCAATACAAGACTGAATAATGCTAACATTTAGATCTAGCTTGGATTGTGAAGGTTTCTGTTTGTGATTTTAAAACAATGTCTTGGCATGAGGACAAAACACCACTCTTGAACTCCCTGGGGCTAAAGAATTTTTAGTGTCTTGGTGTATCTGGTCTGACTTCACACTATCAGCTTTTATGGGTCTAGATTACAATTCATCCTCACTTCTGAAGCAGTTATTTGATCAGTGGCCACTTACGTAGGTATAAGACAGCTCTGTTGTTCATGATTTTTGTTTTCCTCTTTAGTTCAGCAAAGAGCAGAAGCGGTAGAGTGCAAAAGTCGCACTCCTGTCTCAAAACAAGGAGGAACTTGCAGAACCAAAAAAAAAAGACAAAAGATCTGCTACACCTCTGAGGCACAGACAGAAGAAAAGAAATTGAGACCACATTTTTCATCACCAAGTACTATGTCTCGTCCTGCAAACAGAAGGCCAGAAGACCATAAAATTGTAAGAGGCTTTTTCCTACTTCATGGAAATGTTTTGAGCGATTTTTAAATTTTATTTTGAAAGGTGATGCGACAAGTAGAATTTTTCAGGGGAGCAAAGAGAATGATTGGTGAAGTGGATCATAAATGACACCTCTGGGAACAGTTACAATTATCTCTCAAATATTGTAACAGAATAATCAATTCTTTATAAAGATTTTTAGGATCTTCTTTTCTGATTGATTACATGAATAAAGGTGTTAGATTTTCCTTTTGACTCTGACAAAAAATATAAAACTGATGATTAGGCATTTGTTTGTATTTCATGTTGCATGAAATAAGAAATGAAATGTTTATAGTTAATTATGTGTAAAATTAAATAGGAATAAGATAATCAAAAAATTAGGTACCTAAAGACTGTATTTAAAAATATTTTTCTAGTTTTAAATATGTTTCTATTTGGTCTCTGCTATTAGCCTTCCTTTATATTTCAAGTTCTGAGTTATGTTAAAACTTAATTATTTTGCAGATTCAATTTGGATAAATATTCTTTAATCTTCTCTTATTATAGTTTTAACATTCAGATGTTACAGATATGAAAACCCATGCTTAAGTTTAAAGGTGTGTTAATTATTTCATGAAAATAATGGGCATTTGATGTAGTTAAGTAATTTCAGCATTGAGTACTTAGGGTTTGATGACTAACTGGCATACACCAGCTAGAAATGGCTGCAGATGCCCCTCTGGCATTCTGGGATCTTGATTGGCTTTTCTGTGGGGCTCTCAAATGCTAAAACCTATAGAATATAGTTCATATTGTAGCTAAGTCACTTAATATACACATAACAGAACATTTTTTTATCCTGATGTATCAAAAACGTCTGAAAATAATAGTGTTCTTTTTTTTATTGTTTTTAAAACCAGGAAGATAATTTTGATATTTATTGGGATATGTAGTATGGACTTGAGACCAAACTGGACATGTAGTTCAAGTTACAACCTTTGGTCATGAAGCTGAATGAAAAAAAAAATGGGCCTCTATGGATATTGAACTTGAAACTCAACTGGAAGTAAAGTGTTTCAAAATATACTAGCATATCTCCTGAAAGAGAGAGAAAGAGAGAGAATGCTACATTTGACCTTAATTACAAATGGACCTAATGCTGAAGCTACAGCATATATATAGGCTGTCATTTTTCTCCTTTTCTTTCTTTTTCAAATTCTTATATTGCCAGTGGCAATAAACACATTATCATTCTCTCTCCCTCTCTCCTTCATCATTGCTTTTTTTATGCTGCAACATTGATACATATCACTACTTTGTTTTTTACTGTGATTCCCTTATATTAGGTAGTTAATTCATTTACATGTTATAGGCATTTCTTGTGATTTATGATTAAGTTCTGGAAAGATTTAAGTAAAAATAAATAAAATTGAATACTGGTAACCTTTAGTGTTATATTTAGTAATATTTTTGTTCAAATCAATAATTTATATCTCTTATTTCCTAGTAAAATATTTTTTCATTATTTTCCTATACTTGAATTGTATATATTCTATATTAATATGTAATGTGAAAATGAGTACATATTTTAAATATACTTACGACACTTTAATTTATATTTTTCACATAAATTATGTCCATATGTGCCAAATAATATTTAGATTCTGTTCCTTTAAGGTTTATTTAGTGTAATATTTTACTTGACTAAAGAAGTGTGTCATGATATAAACCCATACAAAAGAGAGAAAGGACACTGGTGGTTGGCAAATATTTACATCCCAAATCATATAACATTTCACAGAAATCACTTTGTCTAATTAAAAGTCTTATTGGATTTTTTAAGTCACTTCTGTCCATCCTCATAAAAATCCCACATATTCATTAGTCCTTCTCTTCCCCTACATATGAAGCTATCCATGATGTTTTGGCCTGGAGGTAGAAACACCTCTTCTACTGGTTGTTCATGGAAATACAAGATTATATGAGAAATGAGATTATTTCAGTAGTGGGCCTCCATCCTGCTCCATCACCCACTCACCTCTCTTCCAAACAGTATCCATGCTTTCACACATGGCAGTCTAAGTGCTGCGTCAGAGTGGAGGCCTGGAGTCTGAGAGGCCATTCTGGCTCTGGCAGTTGCTGGCTAGTTGGGCAAGTCTCTCAGTCCTCCTGAAGCCTCATTCTCTATAGACCGACAGCATTGAAGTAAATTATCTCTAAGATCCCTTTCCCTTTCTTTTTTGTTTCCTTCTTCCTTCCTTTTATTTGTTTTTGTTGTTGTTGTTGTTGTTCTTAAGGCAGTGTCTTGCTATGTAGCTCAGGCTGGGCTTGAACTCATGATCCTCCTGCCTCAACTTCTCTAGTTTTGGGGTCACAGGCGTGTGCACTATCATATACAGCTCCTTCCCTTCCTAAAATAGCATTTAATACCAGAAACAAAAAAGATTTTTCAAAACTGATTAATCTTTATGTCTTCTGTTTCCCATATTTTCAACACATCTGTGTTAAATGAAACTTAAATTGGCCTTGGTTTTAGTTTTCATTTGTAATTCATACTAAAAGTTGAACATATTTTGGAGATACATAAAGAAAGCACAAACTTCCATTTTTTTCTTTAAATAAAAAGAAAAAAATTCCACAAGCTTGCCACTGAGGTTGGATTAATCCTGAAGGATCCTTGGCAGATGTGAACTCCAAGGGCTCATGAAGACTCCTGAGAGTCTCACCCAGGTATTCCTTCCCACTGAAAAGAGAACCAGCATAAATGAAAGTCCACTCTAGAAAAATAGGAATTAGAAATTAGTGATTAATAAAAAACTTCCTCCATGAAAATATACAGTAAGTTATATAACAGAAGCAAATGCATAGAAAGATATTGTTATGTTAAATTAATTTCACAGCTCCTCCCCCAGACCCAGCAATGTATCCATCCAAAGGTAAGTACAATTTGTTCTCAAAAGTGAAAATTGTTGCAATAATAACAGGGTAGAAAAAAATGAAAAGTGGAAAGATGATCTCTGAAGCTGATGACAACCTAGTAGTATACTGTCAAAACTTTGCCTATATTATGAAACCTCCCTTTTTCTCCAGAACAAAGATCTTTTTGTCCTCACCTATGGAGCTCTGGTTGCCCAACTGTGTAAGGACTATGAAAAAGATGAAGATGTAAACAAATACTTAGATAAAATGTAAGTGGAAGTCTTTCATTCTTGTGGAATCTTCGTTGTTTCTTAACATCACCTGCATTTTTCTGCCTCTAATGACTCCATTTCACCAGCTCTTCTCTGATTTCAATGAACCACATCTGAAAGCTGAACATAATTGCTTGTACTTGATACTTGGCTTGATAGCATAAAATAATAGGAAACTTTTTCCTACACATATCAAATGTGAAATGTTTTCTTTTCCAGTTAGAAATCATTTCCTTAATCACTTACAAGCAAAGGATATAATAAAATCGAGGTGTTCTTTAAATACATGCTGAAACATTAAATTTGATTATATTCCACAGTCTTTTTTTCTAATATAACTCCTTACAATATAAATATTTGCTTACATAAACATAGATCATCTAAGGGAGGATATATAAAAAAACCTAATGATAGTTGCCCAAGAAGACTAAATAATGCAGTATTAAAGGTTAAAGAAAGATATTCCTTTTTGCATACAGTTTTTTTTTATTGGTTGAATGTTTTTATCATTATTATAATCTATGTTTAAAATATATTAAATAGAAAAAGGTCCCTTTTAAAAAATAAATCCCATTCTCCTTGTCATTATTAAATAGCAGATTTCTCTTATTCAAATTCAACCTTTTAATTTCTTCAAACTAAGTATTTGATCATTAGATTATTGTCAAATAATAAAATATCTGTCAGCATTTTTTAATCTCCCAATTAAGGACCCTGAAAAAGGCTGTAACAGAGCAATCACTGGAAAATATATTAGAAGTTTTACTTAGTAAGGTTGAAGGGGCAAGTAAGTCTAGCACTTTGAAGATTTTAAAAGGGTTTGTTGCATTTTCCATTGGAATAAAGAACAAGATAACATAAAGGAAAGCTTAAAAAAATTTTTTAACTTTTATTTTCCTCTCTTTCTTTTTTTGCATTTCTCTTGATTAGGCAGGAACATTCACAAAGAAGCAAACTGCCAGCCTACCCATCTTTGGCTTTCTTGGTTACTTCCTCAGCTGAATGTCTGTAACTGTGGAGCTTCAAAGGCTGTTTTGTTTAGGTCACACTTAAATATCTGATCAGCATTTCCAGAAGTGACTTCATTTTATTTGACTTATATTAAATTAGTATTATTTTGTGGAAACATGGAAATATGGAAAATGAAGAAGCTCATTTATTTGACTAAAAAAATACATTTGATAAGCTATTTGAGTATAGATGGTAACCAATATGTGTGGGGTATTAGTTCAAAATAAATTTGAGAGATTGGAGGAAGACCTTGCTTTAAAAAAATATAATTCACATTTGAATTTCTTTCATAGCTTCAGAGAAGATTTTATATTTTTAATTTAATATGTAACTATCTATTTTGGGGAAAAAATACCCTTTGATCAATGTACAACATATACACTGCTTACAGTATTCCAACTTCCTATCATTATTTCCAGTGGCCAAGCCTATGGCTATGCATAATGATAATTAAGAAACATTGACATAGCCTGGTATGGTGGTTCAGACCTGTAATCCCAGCACTCAGGAGGCTGCAGCATCATGATTGTGAGTTTCAGCCAACCTAGACTACATAGGGATTTCAAGGTCAACCTGGGCTACATAGAGAGATCCTGCCTCAAAAAAGAAAAAAAAAGCCTAGGAACATTCTATCTATCTATCTATCTATACGTACATACAATTATATATATTATTATGCATTATTAACAGTACTTGGGTTTAAACTCAGGGGCTTGTGCTTGCCAGGCAAGCACTCTTATTATTTGAGCTTTTTGCTTTAGTTATTTTTATGATGGGCTCTGGTTTTTTTGCATGAGCTGGCCTGGACCACAACCACATGCTCTTCTTTATGTTTCCCACATGGCTGAGATGATTGGCACACACCACCACATCTGGCTATTGGTTGAGATGGGGGAGGCTTGCTAACTTTTTCCAGGGACTGGCCTTGAGCCATGAGCCTCCTAATCTCCAGCTCCCAAGTAGCTAGGATTACAGGCATGAACCAACATACCATCCCTGGAAATATTTTTTAATCCTGGTTTAACTATCTTTTAAAGTGTATGTTCTGTTCTTTAAAAATCTTTTTGGTGTGAGTTTCTTGGGTAGAATTTTTAACTACTTTGCTTGATAATCAAGTAAACTAAATGGAATATTTCTATCCATTCAGAAATATAAATAGAATAGCTCATTAAATTTAGTGAATTAATAAGCATGCTGCCATCAAATCAGCAAATCCACATCAAATCCCCTCAGCTGCCAAGTCACCAAAGATATCACCCCTTTTTAGATCCTCTGGAAGAATGATTGCTTTTAAAAATTGCAATATCTTTATTTTTTTGAGCTCTCTGTTGCTCTAGCCAAATTGTTTCACTTGTCTATGTACATGTGTCTGGGGCTGTGAGATTACAGGCAATATTTTTACTAGTGGTTTAGCTAAACAGTATTCCTTTCATTTCCACTATTAAGGTCTTATTTTTTTAGTTGGATTGCAAATTCCTATAAGACAGAGACTGACAGTTTTTGGTGTTCCTCTTAGAAATGTAATAGTTTTTTGGTTTACCTAGTTCAAGGAGTGTGCTCAGCCATCTTACCCACATTCTCAGTTGTGTTATCACATCTCAACAAACGGTTTTCACAATTATATTTCAGCTACAACTAGAGCTACTTGCTTGGATGGAGTTAATATGTAATTCAGATGCCTTGGGCCAAATCTGCTATCCACCCTTTCAGTCTCTGAGGAATGAAAACTGAATTTTCTGAATTTGGCTTCCTACCCCTACACACACACACACACACACACACACACACACACAAAGCTTGCTCGCACTCACACAGTAAATTTCGAAGTACAACTGTTTAAGCCTTCCCCAGCAACAAAAAGTGTTACTCTTTTCCTTTCATCCTTTTCTTCAAGAGCCCATCTTGGAAATACCTGCCCTCCTACCCTGATAACTATGCTAAGAGAATCCAGGTGCCACACCTGTAGCAGACAATCAGTCAGACTTTCACTCTCTTTCTGTCAATAGTATTAGCTATTGATTAATTAGCTCATGATTAATGAGGAACAGTAGGGTGCAAACACCAGCTTTCTTTAAGTTTAATTTACACTGTCAAGTGTGGGCCAGTCTCAACTCTAAGTCAGACTCCCCTGCTTGTATGAAGCCATTTAATATTTCTTGTATGTGTTGCTCTCTGCTTCTGTGGTCTGAGGAACAAATAAGAAGCCCACTGCCAAAGGCCCCTTGACTTGTCACATTAAGTTTAGTTTGTTATCCACTTGTGCATACCACACTTTTTTCCTTCATCCACAGGGGTTATGGCATTGGAACACGGCTGGTAGAAGACTTTTTGGCTCGATCCCGTGTGAGAAGATGCCACAGTTACTCAGAAATTACAGACATAATTGCCCAGGTGAATGCTATTTTAGCTGTCATTTTTTGTTTGTTTGCCTGTTTGTTTGATTGTTTGTTTCCAATGTTAGGGATTGGACACAAAGCCTCATGCAGGCTATGCAAGCACTGTACCCTTGAGCTACATCCCCAGCCTTATCAATGTGTTTTATTCTTTCTAACTTTGGTGGTTTTCTCTCTGAATGGACAAGTTCCATCTATATACCTTGCTGGGTGCTGCTAGAGGGGTTTCTAATTGAAAAGTGTTTTATTTCTGCTTAGAGATAAAGCTACTGGGAATTGAAAGAGAAACGCTTCCAGGCATCTAAGCATCTATAGATTTTCCTGACTACATGGTGTATGTGGAGTTTATGTGTCAAACTGGGAAAAATGTTTTGAGAAAGTAAACAGGAGAGTGTAACAGGCAACCTTACATCATGCATGCCCTACACCAGTTTCCTTATGTGGTCATTTTCAGCAGGTAGAGATAGGCTTTGGCAGTATAAGAGAATATTGTTGTAGTCATTCCCAGAGCAATGTTTTCCCAAAAGAAAAATAAAACTTCCTACAGATGCACGTGTGTACATGAAGATGCATGTACTCACAGCCCTTTGTGTGGAAACAACTTGGGATCATCAAAGACTAGCTCATCTTTCTTAGAAATAAAGCTGTGAAATGCACTTTAGCCAGCATTCTTTTTAATATCAGACTACCATTATTAACTTGGTGTTGTTGATTTGTGGAACACCCAGAAAGTAGGCATGGATATGAGATATTTGAGGAGGTCCAGATATGTTGCCCCATGCTTCACACACTATCCAATTAAGTCAGTCCTACTTTTTTTCTCTCTCCTATTTCTAAATGTTGATATACATGACCAAACTGACTGTTCACATAAATGGTTATAATACTAACACTTAGGACTCTGTGATTCTAAATTCAGTTATTTAGTTTTTGTAGCCCTTGAAGTAAGCAAAGTAGAAATTATACTCATTTTCCAAAAAAGAAAATGAGCCCCAGAAAGAATATGATGAAATTGAAGAATAGTAATATATGAAAAATTATATATTCAAAAACACAATCCAAATGAAAGATTTTTTTGTTCCAATTACTAATGTTATTATTTTATTGCATGGTTACTAAATCATGAGGCTGAAGTTGGAATCCAGATGTCTTCCAACCTTAACACAGTAAATTTACCGTGCCATTAGGCAGGTTTTTCATAAAGTCTCTTTCTGTATATATTCACAGAATGTAAACAAGATCTTAAAGCAGTGGCTTGGAAGGTAAAATACCTTTTCACTAAACCAATTCTGTGGGCAATACTGTAAGAATCCCAGCTGTTTTAATGGAAAATAAATATAGAAATTGAAATATATAAATGTATATGGCTGTGTTTATTGTATTTCCAGTTGGTAGCCTTCTGGGCTTGTTGATTATTAAGGCACAGGCTTTCAGTAATGATGGTCAAATTGCTCTGAGAATGACTTTCTTTTGACCTTTGCCCAAATCCACTCCATTGTCTTCATATGTATATATAATATTAAATATAAAGTGTTCTCATAAAGCTAAGTTTGCAGGCTAGAACATTTGCTGATAATTTGAAAAATCATTTAATATGAAAAATAAAACCTTACTCATACATGAGTTATTTGCTAAGGTTTGGTATCTGAAAAAGGAAATAATGTCAAGGACTAATTAGAGACTACATTCTAAGGATATGTTAGGAGAACCTGTGAAAGTTTTTATTCCTCTGGATGTGTATATATATGTATGATGCGCATAGTTGTTCATTTAATAACGTATTCACTTATGGGTATTTTTGCTTTGCTTCATTTTGGGTTTGGCTTGGTTTAATGCAGTTTGTTGAGCTAGGGTCTTTCTGTGTGGCCCAGGCTGGCCTTGTACTCATGGATCCTCCTGCCTCTGCCTCTCCAGTGTTAGGATTACAGGTGTGTACCACTATGCCCAGCTCCATTTTCATTTTTAAAAAGATGACTAACGATTTTTAAAATTTGTTGAAAAAAGAACAATGACCATCTTGAAGTGCGAGTTTATATGATCTCATTATCAAGAGCCTGGGATTATTATGTGCCATGCTTTGGAAGATCAGAGTTCATCAGAAATGTGTCTGACACTACAAATGCCTTTGGCTCAGAGAATATTGGCTGTTGGTCTAAATGATCTCCAGTTAGGGTAAGCAGTCATGAAGGAGAACTCTCCAGTTGTAGGTTGCTATTATTCTTGACTCTGTGTGCAGAGTCCAAGTTACTGAAGGGCTTCTGTGGATGAGAAAGGGATGATTCTACCTGTTCACTTTAATCAGAAAAAAACATAAGAAAACTAGACTTCTCTGGTAGGAAAAAAAATCAATAGAAGAAATATAAGTCCTTTCCAGAAGTAGTTAAGATGACTGAAGGTCTCACATGAAAGTTAGTTACCTCTAAGAGGCTATCTTACATGTCCTATTAACCTCAGGAAGAACACAAAGCTGAAAGCCAAAGTAACTATGCCAGTATTAAGTATAGTGCATGCTTATTTGGGGCTTCACCTAAAACTTGTTACTTATTAATACTCAATAAAAATTAGTTGAAAGACTAAAGGAAAGAGATGAAAGGGAAGAGGAATGGAAGCCATCTTCTATTCAGGCCCCTTGGGAAGAGAGCTTTTCTTCATCAGGGAGGCTACCGGGAATTTTCCTGTGCTATCTGATATATTTAAGGGGTCTTTGAATCCTCTCCATGAGGAACTATGCAATTTACCTGACAATGAAGTCTTCAGTATGCAGAAATAGGACAAGAGCGCTTTCTATATACCAGATTTAAGACGAAAAGCCTGGCAGGTGCCAATGGCTCACTTCTGTAATCATAGCTACTTGGGAGACTGAGATTGGGAGGACTGCAATTTGAGGTCAGTCCAGACAAACAGTTCTGGAGTTCCCATCTCCAAAATAACCAGAACAAAGTGGACCGGAGGTGTGGTTCAAGCAGTAGAGTGCCTGCTTTGTAAGCATGAAGTTCTAAATTCAAACCCCAGTCCCACTCATTCCTGCCACCCCCCCACCCCCGCAAAAAAGAGGAAGAAAAGTCTGAAGAAGAACCTAGTGACAAATGTTATATGGAGTGTGCAAGAAAGAGAAAAATGGAATCCTATTTCATCCAAAAAGAAGAAAAAAATACCCACAGAGTATCCCCTAATGCAGAAAACATATTTTGCCTTTAAAAGAGATAAAGCAGCCTCTAAAGATACCAGACCTTCTAACCATGCATAATTTTTACCAGCTTAGAAATGAGACTGTTCGATATAAAGCTGAAACATGTAGAACATCTGCTTTCCAAAAATCCCTTCTCTAAACTTTTCATGTCTCATCAACCATTGTGATGTCATATAGAGTCTTGTTTTACATCTGCTGTCCTCAGTGAACTGGGAAAAGTTCCACTTCTACTCCTAGGCAAGATTCATCACCTTCACACTCATCTCTCATGCAAAGCAGTTGTCTCCTGTTTTTTTCAAGTTTCTTCAAAGACCTGATTTTCACAATGTAATCATTTTCACTTACCCAGAAAAATGTTCTCTTCCATATGGTGATGATGTCAATCATTTCAGGAGCATTTTGATACAGATGAGTGGTCAGACTTTAGTTATGTGCCTGCCCACATAACAAGATGCTTTGCTTATAATTAGCAGCTTTCATTAAAAGACCTGGCCTCTGGCAGCATTATCTCATTAATCCTTGTAAGCTCTCTTCAGAGGAGGCAGGTAGCAAATAATACTGAGTTAATTTTGGAGAACTAGGACAAAGTCACAGGAAATTTAGTCACATGCTACCCTCAGAGCAGAGTCAGGAAAAAAACCCAATGGCTGTGAATTTCGTCTGGCCGCCCTCTTAGAACATGCACTGATCAGAATACCATCATCCTCTGAGCACCATACACTACAGCTTCCACAGAACCCATGACCTCTGTCCTGGTTCCAGAGGAAGAAAAAGAGAAAGAGAATTCTTCTGAAGAGAATTGACTAGCTGAAGAAATCTTTGACTAGGTGGAGGAACTGATTCCTCTGAGTTAGCAAAAAACTGTAACAAGTCTTCTGAACTTACAGCTCTACTCTGTGATTCTCCATATTTAAAAGAGAACTGTGTAACTTCAGGTATTAATAACATTCTACTCTGTTATTTTCCTCCCTTTACGTTTTCCAAAAGGGGTATCACTCTACTACCAGGCATCTGACAAAATTCTTTCAACAGTAGACCTTTAATTTCTCCATCTAGTGGTCTGAAAAGAAAATGCATGACAGAGACCTGTGTGTGTGTGTGTGTGTGTGTGTGTGTGTCACTGGTTTGAACTTAGGACCTAGTACTTGCCTCTAGGCAAGTATTCTACCTCTTGTGCCACATCTACAGCCTGAGGGGCCAAATCTTCAATCAACAAAACCCTTCAACCAAGCACCAGTGGCTCATGCCTATAATCCTAGCTATTTGGGAGGCTGAGATTGGAAAAATCACAGTTTGAGGCCAGTCTGGCCAATTAGTTTGAGAGACCACCCCCATCTCCAAAATAGCCAGAGTAAAATGGACTGGGGGGTGGTGCAGCTCAAGCAGTAGAGCACCTGCTGTGCAAGCATAAAGTCCTGAGTTCAAACCTTGGTCACACCAAAAACAAAAAAAGAAAAGAAAAACTCTCCAGTTTGTCTTATATTTTATATAATGAAGAGAAGACAGTCAAAATCTAAACTCAACTTCCTGCAACATTAAAATGGATCCAGTTTTAAAATGTGATTTTATTATATACAAGTTTACTTTTTGTGATTACATCAAAGCACAGAAACAAATATTAAGACATAATATAGTTTGTCAGTTTTTTATATCCATGGGTGCCACATCTGAAGATGCAACCAACTACAGATTAAAAAAATCTTTTTTTAAATTGTGTCTATATTGAACATGTGCAGACTTTTTTCTTTTTGTTTTCTCTAAATATTACAGTATGACAAATATTTATATAGCATTTACATTGTATTAGA